CATCTAAGCCAACAGGTGGATGTCATAAAAAAAAAAGGAAATTTCTCCTTCTGCAAAGATTAAGCAGCTGCCTTTAACTCCTGCCCAGTTTCAGACCATTCAGGAGTTAACTGAGGCAGTTTCTGTAGGTTCAGGAATTCCTGGAGCTTGGTGAAGATTGTTATGACTCCTGAAGTGTGTCAAAAGAAATCTTAGAAAAGTTCAGTAATCCACCCTGGGTTAAAAAAAGTAGCTGTACTGTCCTCGGCAGACAATGCTCATCTTGTAGTACCAGTACAAATAACTGACTAGGGCATTTGGCATGTTTTGTTATACATCTGTCTTGTTTTGCATATAACACTGGTGAGGTTTTTGAATTCACTTTTCAAAGGCCTGCTCTGCTGGATGTTACTTTTTAATTAGTTCTTTTTGACTACACAACTTTAGTTTCTGAGAAATACACACGGTTGTATTTTCTGTTCTGATTTATCGTAGGAGCAGTACAGCTGCCCCCAATACAGAATTTAGTAAATTGCCAAAGTGAGAGTTAGCCAATCTATCATTCGAGTTTCAAACCTTCAGTAGAATGGTTTAAGAAGGCCGTGTTTAAAGACAGATTAGTGTTTAACACAAGATATGTCTGAAACCGTGTCAAATAAGATCAGAACTGGGGTGTAATCAGATAAGACCAGAAACATAGAAGTGACTAAAAAAAGTTTTGCAAAAATGGAGAAACGAAAAATAGAACAGTGTTTTCTAATTAAAAAACCTAACACTTTTAGTACGATTATTTCCCACTTCCCATTAAGTGAATCTGGTGTCTGAAAGCATTTGGCGAAGACAGAGTTGCAAGTTTTATCTGGAGCCAGAGCTTAAGCCTTGCGATGTCCAGAAACGACACCAAAAGCATTGAATTATCTATCATCAGCACAGACTGGTGATTAATACAACTTAACGTGAAGAATTACTATTGTTGTAGTTACTACTACAAAAGCAACCTTGGAAAAAGAAACCTGAGCAGCTTGTTCTATATTCCCACAAGCCTTTGGGCCTCCTGTCCTCAATTTTAAATGCACTTCCAATATACGGGACCACAAGGTTCCACTTTTACCCCCTGATTCGTGCTTCGCTGTTCATTCTGGAGAAACCCGCTGGGCTGACTTTTGAATTCTTGCATTCAGCCGTCACCGCCTCTGTTCAAGATCAGATCAAGGTCCAGTGCCTTCAGCCTGTCAGTGCAGGACACAGCAGGAAGCAGAAGGTGAGAAAGGAGGGAGCAAGGTCCACAGTTAATGGAAGACGCATTACATGTGTGATTATATGTACACAGCGCTGTCATGGTACTGTAATTACCCAGGTGAGACCCTGCAGGAGAAAGTGGAGTCTCCAGCTGAGGCCTGCCAGAGAGCCCGCTACCTGACTTGGCAGCAGGGGGGGGAAGGTAAATATTTTCTCCTGAAATTGGAGATACTAATTTTAGCAAAATAACCTGAAGGTCATATTGAAATATTGAAACACAATAACGTACAGTACACATCAGACAGCAGACTCAACATCTGGTTTTAATAAATTCTAAAACATTTAAAATTGCACTCTGCAATGCAATCCTTGCAAAAGTTAAAAGGGAAAGGGGGGGAGCTGATAGTTAGGGTGAGGCAAGTGAGATTGCAAATAAAGGGGTATTTGAATAGTACAGTAGGTTTGCACATTTTCTTGCACATAAGAGAAAATGTCTTCTTGAACTGTATGAGTGCCATTTTAATCACATTCAAACAACTACAGCACTCAATACACTCAGAACTCCTGGCACAGTAAGGACAAGCAGACAGTGTTACATTCAGTGATGATTTATTAGAATATATTAAGTTTTACAAATTTCACTGAAGCTCAGTGAGAATACTACAAACCACACCACGAAAGGAGCAGGCATGGTATGTGAAGCAGTTCTGTGAAGGAAGCTAAATTGGCAGCAAAACTCAAAATGCTTTTACATAAACATAACATGTGCAGTAATACTGGTAACACTAGGTTATACAGGTCTCAACCCTGACCAAAGTATTCATTGTTATAACCATACCATTCCATTGGAAAAAAGAAGGCGTCTTAATTACATGGGAGACAAGGCATTCTCTGGCCAGCAACCTAATCATGGCCTCAGGGGAGCCATAATGATGAGACAGATCCTGTACTTCACCCAAGGAAGGAAATAAGAACACAGAACGATCCGAGTCAAACCTTGTCAGACGCAGACACTACCAACAGTGCAACAAAACACGGTCTCTGCTGAAGCACAGCTACTGCATAAAATCACAAACAAGGTGTCTGTACATCTTGCAATTTAAATTATACTCTTACAATTAAACAGTACACTGGTCGTACTGCATGCATGGCACTTAGTGATGTGGGCATTGTGTTTGGCTTAGTAAGTTTGATTATCTAGAGCTATATATATATTGTACTCAATATATACATAATATATACATACTGTATTCTGTATATATGCCATATTCCATTTTCCCTTTGAACCTTTTTTCTTTACAGTGATCTCAAGAACAAACTATAATCACATTCACAATATTTAACGTATACATTTCGCATCTAACACCTACGCTACATGTCACCAAATTCACTTTTAATCAACAGCCTTAAAGGACTAAGTTTCCCTCTCAGGAAGGTGTGGAAGTGAGAGTTCTACAGAACTATTCTGCACCATCTAACACAACACAGACTTGTCAATATAGTGCATATTAAGATGACAGTTTAATGTTATATATTTGCCTGCTTTATAGATTAAACTGGCCTTTAAAGTAATTGAATACATTGAAATAAAAAATGGGCATGATCTGGATTTATGAAGTCAAAATATCATAGCCAACTTCTTAGAAAAATACTACTCTGGCTATAGTGTTGAACTCATTTTAATATGTTTGGAAAATAAATTATGGCAAAAATACATAAGATGTGTACTGACAAAGCTTGCTAAAAGGCAAAGAAGTGGGGAGCAGCTGAAAAGTTCAGCTCATTACTTTTACAATGCTAACATTATGAAAAGCCAAGTTTAAATCTCTAGTCAGCACAAATCTGTAGTCACCACTGCAACCATTTTCATAAAAATGTTGACGAGGTCTTTTTATGCAACTGTAGTTGCCAGACATACAATCTTTATGTGGCTACAAGTTTAAACTAGGAATAACTAAGCATACCTAAGCACAGATATACAATGGCCTCATTCACTAAATCTTAAATTTGCTTGGTGAAAACAGGACTTATTCTGTTATTTTTCACACAAACACATTCCTGTTGTTCACAAACCTATTACATTTAATCTTCAACACATAAAAGATTCTAGTTTGGAAACAAGGTCTTTGTGTGCGAAAATGGGTGAAATGCATTTGAAAGCCATTAGATGAAATGGAGAGAAAAATGTCTACAGGGAAGAAAGAGTATTCCACAAGGAGAATGACATTATGACCGACCTACAAAAATAAAATGTATCTGAAGGGGGAAAATGAACAAATGTGCCACTGTGTTAAAAAATGGCCTGGAAGCATAAAGCTAACAGAATGGAAAAAATATTGACATCAGCCACATATAACAGCAGCACAATGTCCGCTGCAAAAAGGGACACCACATCCCGGGAATGTTTGCTACTGCATTACCCGAGTAATAGCAGCCATCGCACTCAGTTTGGACACTACGGGATTTCTGGGTCATGGAAAACGGGACCTACTGTAGCTTGTCCAAAACCAGCCTCAGCATTCGTTCCACAAAAACAGTCCAAAAAAAATTATCCCCCCGCCATTAACATTACTTCTAAAATATTTTCGATACACGTTTCATTCTGATTCCTATGTTAACTCTTCATGATATTAATTAGAGAATCATTATAGATGCATGATCAATTCTGAGCTAATTTTTGCAGTATACGGTGCATTTCTGATGGTTGGTTTTTTAGGAGCATATGAACGAGGTACATTCCTGTGACATACACTCGGTGTGGTGTGGTGTCCACGGTGATTACCCCTTTCTGCACTAGTGTACGCTAGAGTGTTTTCACACGATGGCAGACAGCACAGGGTGCTAATAGAGGTAAACTGTGCTGCTGCAGCGTGCAGGCCGCGTGTGACCCCAGAGCACCGCAAGCACGGCGAACACACTGCCATCGACAAGAACATGGTCAGGAACACTGCCGACAAGAGGAGGCCATTGGGTGCACCTAGCCCGTCTGAGAGCCAGCAGCAAACTCATCCGAACATCCCATCCAGTCAGATCTTGAAAGACACCAGGGCTCCAGTTTCAACAACACGACTGGGTACATTTTGTTCCACACTTCCACCAGCTAACAGGTTCACACCAGAGGGTGTGGAATCGGCTCAGTGTGGCCTCGAGTTGTCCGAGATGGGAGAACGCGAGGTGGAAAACAGCGTGCACTTGGATGATACTGCTGCCCAAAGGAACGGGTTCCCCGAGGTGCAGTACCACTGGTACGCCTGTCAAGCCTCCCTGAGCCATGGCCGGCAGACAAACCCAGCTGGAGCAAGTCCTGGCCTACCACCTTAGAAGTCAGGGCTTAATTTCCAAGTCACCTGCACTGTGAGTAATGAAATACAATTCGCACAGACAAGCCAAACCTCATCTCATCTAAGTACTGCAAATAAGGCTGACGTGAAACAAGCTCAATATTGTTTCAGAAATGGTAAGGAATTCTAAACAAACTAAAAATAAAAAACTTAGTGCCAAAAAATGTATAGAACATAATACCAAGGCAGGAAAACCTAATTAATTTCTTTAAAAAAAGGTCACTTTTACAATTTAAAAGTATAAATAAATAAGATCAAACATCCTGTTCAAACAGAATACAAAAAAAATTACTACGCTGAATCAGTTTTCACTTCCACACCTTGTGGCTGGAAAAACTTTTGCAGTTTTACTTTACGAACAGCATCATAAGTAGCTTCATAAAATTGAATCTCCAGGCTTAAATAAAGCCTGGAGCTTTATTTAAGCTCCAGGAAGGAGGACTGTTTCCTAAAATGTGGTTCGTTACAAAATGCACAGAAATCACACCAGACTACACCATGCCCTTGTCTCTACGACCAAACGTTTAGCTGTAGCTGAGCTGGACCTGAGTAGCTGCACTTCTATTGACAATGATAAAGAGGACAAATCAATCACTGTCCCCCAGGATTTCCAATTCCTTTTTTTAATTTTATTTAGGCAGCCTAGATACATTCCTGTAAAAAAATAGTATTTTTCCTGATCATTACTTTTTTTTTCCCCCCAAGATGAACTTGCTGCTCTGTGCACTGTATGTCCTTTTGGCATACTATTACAAGGGATAAAAGGTTTCCACGTAGCCAGGCCTGTGCAGACCACTGCGGTCACATCAGGCACAGTATGTCCAGGTCCGCCTAGTGTCAAGGCCAAGGGTAGCTGCACTGAAACACAAAGTCCTCAGCCCAGTGCAGCCATAGCTAATGTAGGTGGTGGAAATGGGGCATTAGGAGAATCTGTGAATCCCTAAAAACCCGAACAGTTACAGTAGTGGCTTGTTTTTCTGCTATGAAGTCACAAAGTCACAAAGAACGTAACCATTGCTGCATAGACGGGGAAATAACTTCACCTTTCAACTGTCCATCAGAGATTGCTCTAACCCTCCCCCACCCTGTAGTACTGTCGAATGATTGTCAACACACTGTTAAAGCACAACAGAAAAGCAGGCCTGTCTGAACAGCATTCTCTGCCAATGCTACTTCTTGTACTAAATTAACAAATCTGAAAATGTCAAACACTTTAAGCTACAAATGGCAGTTTACAAAAGCATCAAATAAATGTTTTTAGAAAGCAATTTTTCAATAAAACGTTAATTACACATAAATTACATTGTACACACAAAATACGACATAGAAAATCTTTGATGTTCATTTTTAAATACATTTTGTAGGAGACAAAACATATTTCTGTATCAAAACTATAAAAACAGCTTTTTTTAAATTTCTGCAGGATATCACAATTCTAATTTTAAAATGTCTGAATATTTCTTTTATAGGAGCGATCTTGTTTAGAAATGCACGAGGCAGATGGCTCCTGTCACACTCTATGAGTGATGACCAGCTAAGTTTATAATAAAGTTGAAGTGCTAAGGGTTTCTGATTATTCAATCCCTTAAGAGTGCAATAACAAAGAAGTGTTCGACTCAATGCCAACCTTGGTCTTAAATTTTCTGAAACAGATACTTTCATACCCCAACAAGATACATCGATTAATATTACCTCATTGGAGGGAGGATCCAGTTCGGAACCATACACATGTAAACACTCCTACTTGCAACTGGCTTGAATTTGAACACATTGATGAAGAGCTGCATAGAACTGGCTAAAGGTATCAAAGCCTATTTCTTAACAAGATGAAGCATGTAAAAGAACAAGTAACATCACTTCAGATTGATCTTTAAATGACCACCTTAATTAATTATACAACAAAATGCTTACAATCAACAAAAACGTACAACCTGGATCCTGATAGGGCCCATAAACAAATTATTAATATTGCTTTTTTCTGAAGTTCAAAAAAAGTGTAGATATAAAATACTGTTGAAACAGGGTTGTTGCTTAACATTGTACAATGAAGTAAATACAAGAGACAATTTAGTAGTTAGCACAGTAATTAAATACAGACAGGTGCAATTATATCACTGTACAAAGTCTCCATTTGAAAATGGAATTGTAACATTAGTTATCATTGGTCAGGGGTCTTGTAAATGAAAGAAAAAAGTTAGTTCAAACTTCACTTTATATATAAAATATATATTCTTGTAGTTTTGATCAACAAACAATATTCAAATAAAATCACAGACAGCAACAGTCTTCTATGCCTGCTTCTGCTCTACAAATGAAGGACTCTTACATAGTGCAGTTAAAAGATTTGGGGCTGCTAATCTAGTGCATTTTATTACCACGTATTATGTTTCAAATCCATTTTTTTTTTCCAAAAAGTAAGCCAAAACGAAGATTTCTTATTTTTACATTACAGGTCAATACTACACTTTCACAAAATGTGCAAGAAAGCAAACTGACCTTGTACAAGGAACAGCATTATGCACAACGCAAACAGCCCCTGTTCTTGTCTTTCATGGCTCACAGAAGCCCTTCACACTCCTCTAAAATGAAACTGTCCTTCAAAGGCAGCACCACTCCAGACAGATGCACAGGAATAAGCACTGGGCTCAGAGTTACAAGAATCACGCCCCCCACCCCCCTCAGTCAGGTCTCAGTGATGGTGGAGAGGCTGTGTTGGTTGAGAGCAGTCCATCATCCCAAAGGATTCTGGATAGGCATCACTGCTGCTGCTGCCGCCATCATTTTCATTTTGAAACTGAAACAGGAAAAAAAAACATAAGGTGCAATTTTTAAAACGATACAGACAGTTGCGGCAAAAAATAAAGTTGATTTACACTGTGCAAGTGCACAACAATCCTTAACTAGCAGCTTCAATACAAATTAATATTCATATCTTCCATAATGGAAAAAAGTGACAATACAGCTTTATCATTATGGAAATAATGCACTTCTAGAGGATTACAAAGTCTTCCATCTCCTACATATAGATCAAATAAGTAGCACATTGTTATCTTTGTCATAAAAAATACATTAAAGCAAATATAAGGAACGCAACTAAGGAACACGGCATGGGTGTATGGCACACAAGTTAAACACTTGCATCACGCATGATATCGCTTACCTTTGCCAAGAATGGCTGCTGTCCCAGAGGGCTGAACAACATTTGATTCACCATATTCGGGTCACTAGTGCAGTTGGACTGACTTTCTGGCAGATACTGGTACATTGACATTGCACCTGTATAACATGTCTGTGGACTTATTATACACTCCTGATCCTTTGGGAGTGGCTCCAAACTTTCCAGGAAATCCTCTAGCTCCTGGGTGTTGAGTTCAGTTACTGGACAGGACACATTTGCGAGGTTCGCTGGCTGAGGTTGTCCACCTGCAGGAACTGCTGGCTTGTAAGGCATAAAGTCCTGATTACAGGCAGTGGGGAGTATGCTGATCTCACTTTTGTAGGGGTAATCCGAAACAGTGCTTTCTAGCCCGTAGGGGCTGTACTGATGATTGTGCTGCTGCAGATGGAGCGGGGCAGGCTGCTGCTGGCAGCTGGCGGAGGGGGCGCCGGCGGGCTGCGCCCAAGCCGCGTGCATGCCGTTGACTTGCATGTGTCTCAGTTTCTGGCAGAGCTGCTGCTGCTGCAGGTACTGTGCGTTCTGCTGCTGCAGGGGATGCGGCTGAGGCTGAGGCTGAGGCTGAGGGAGCTGCGGCGGTGGGGGATACTGCCGTGGCTGCGGCTGCGGCTGCAGGTACTGGGGGCTCTGCTGTTGCAGTGGCAGCTGCAGCTGCAGCGGCGGCTGAGGGAGCTGCTGAAGCATACAGCTGGGGTTCGGGACCGGCACCTTCTGCTGAGCACAACTGGAGTACATGCAATCAGACTTTTTATTGAGCGATTCCTGCACATAGGAGAGGATCTCATCCGCAACGTTTGTAATATCTCCAGGCTCGTCCCAATCAACTTTCAGGAACTCCTCATCCTGCTGCAGGATCTCAAGGTCTTCCATGCAAATATCCAGGTTTTTCATGAAACTGAACAGATCGCTGCTTTTGCTGTCCAAAGAGCTGTCATCTGGCTGCTGCGTTTGCAGATTGTTTCTGGAGACTGACAAGAGGCTGTCCTGCCAGTTTCTGGACAGGATGTCATTCAGATCTTCTCTGGTGTCACCGAATATGCTCGACTCCAAAGAGAGTGTATTTTGTGCCGGGGAGCAGACGTAAACAGACTCGTCTTGTTTCAGCATGGCACCTAAAAGGGAGTTTGGATCCAAGGATTCCTGTTCTGTTATTTTCAACGAACCTCCCACCGTGAGCGAGGTTTTGGCTTTTCCTAATGTGGGGTCATTTAGAGACATTGAGAAGGTTGTCTCGTACAGCACAGCCTCCCCAGTAGCAAAGCTGAAAGGCAACTTCAGATTTCGTTTCTTAAAGTTTTCCAAACCCTCTTCATCACTGAGGAGGAAGCAATGAAAATGCTAGTTAAACAAAGCTTAAAAAGACGGGGACACATTTTAAAAAATACAGAACAATCAAAGTAAATGTCAGCTTTTTTATAAGCGAAGATATGAAAATGATTTCATGATATGCCAATAGTATACATTTCTAAACATACGTGAGAGCGCGTTGTGTTGCTATTATGTAATCTGGTCTTCCATTTTTGTACACCAGACGTGCGTTTGCCTGGACCCAGGTCCATCTGTTCTTTTTGGTTAGGAGCCTGAAGACTGTCATTCCACTTTCTCCTGTCTTGATCACTGCAGGAGAGAAAATTTTGCTATTAAAATGGAGTATATTACCATTTAAAAGGGGGGGGAAGATACCACACTACCCATTAGCATCGACGTGGAATTCAAACCTTTGTACTGTATGTACATCATTTACCACTCATTAAAATCAGACCTGCAGAATTCAAAGAATGGGTAATTTTTTATCCATTTATTACAACTACTCCAGCCCTGCAAAAAGATAGAAAAATAACTTTTCTTCCTGAAATTAAAAACAAAGCGGCATTATACTTTCAAAAGCTGGTCTCTGTGAACACAAAGCAGCAGCTGTTGTCCAAGTTGGCACCATGACGTGCGAGTAAGAGAGGGCTTCACAGTGAAGTCTTGCGACTGTTCAAAGACGCTTTCTTCAAGACCTCAGAGTTCACAGTTCTTTTCAACAGGTGCTTTGATAACTATGACGGGTCAACCATGTTACCTAATACTAACACTTTGGAAACACTTAATTAAAAAGGAAACATATTTAAAAAAAGATAAATAACTCGAAAATAGTAATTACCCGCTGAATATGCTTCTCAAATCATTAGCTGTCTACAGAGTAAATGGGGAGAAAGACCACCTTGCCACATTCAAACACGCCCTCATAATATCTTTAATCACAGAAGAACCTCTGGGTTGTGGGAATATGGAACAAGCTACCAAGCCGTGTAGTTAATACCTGGCTTGTTTAAAAAAACAGTTGAATCAGATCCCTGATCAATTAACTAATAACTACATTTTGGGACAGATGGAGTGAATGAGCTCTTCTCCTATAAAACCATTTTTATATTGTTAATCTATTTACATTGCTATCTATTAAATTGTACAGGCTCATCACATACTGTGTATAAATCATGTCTGAGACATTAGGGAACTTAATAAATTGTTATGTGACATTAGAAAATGCGACAAATAATTATTAGAACCCAATTCATGCGATAAATATCTGTGGTGTATTAAATGGCTTTTTTTTAATCATAATTTTGAAGAGACGATGGACATGGAACATCAGACTCACTCCGGATATGGTTTTCTGCACAATACAGCATGTCGGCAGCATGAATGAACTGATACCCCGTTCCACGATAGCACAACTCTGCTTCTGTGTAGCCCAGCACAATCTTCCCTCTGTGGGAAGGGGGGGGGGGGAAAAGAATAAACACAAACAAATTACCATCATGTGACATTTCTGTTGGCCTCTTAATGTAAGCATTTGTAAATCTCCGAAACATCAAAACACAGAAAAATCGAGGGGAAACGCGTCACAGATGCTTGCTTGCTTGCCAAGTCTCCAGCATCTTTCCAAACAAACTGCCCGTCTACTTTCTTTCAGGAGATTCAAATGTCAAGACGGCTCTTTAACAGGGCTACCTGTCAGATGGGCCTGATGGCAGCCAGGGCTCGTGAGCACCCACATCAGTCTCGCACAAGCACAGCAGCTGACAGAGGCAGGCCAGGACCTCACTGGAACTGGTTGGGAAACAGAGCTGACCAACGGCGTATGTGCCGAGACGAGTACTGGATCTGTCACCCCTCCCAGTCTTGCGCAGTTGTGCGAATCGCTCTCAAGAGTTCTGCTAAACATCTGGCTGCACATACATTCAACTTAGGAATTCTTACAATTAAATTCATGAGAAGCAGGCCTAGAAATCCATTTGCAGAAGACAAATGACGACAGACATGGGGCTTGTCCTTTATTGACGAATTTTCATTTTTCAAATCCTAAGTAAAGAGAAATCCAGCACCTAGATTCCCTCATATCCCGGCTAGGCCCAAGGCAGGCTGGAGCCTTGTTTCAGGGCCAAGGGTAGCACTGGGGTCACACGAAAGCTCCCTCCCGTGTGAGACAGCAGTGCATCACTGGGCCACTGAGCAAGGGGCTGTTCAGAACCACCAGCGAGTTTCTGAGCAGTGGGAGGACACTGGAAAGTGTGCCGAGTCACGCAAGACCGGAACTGAACCCAGGACCTGGGAGCAGTGAGTCAAGCAGGGAAAACTGCCACATTACAATGCTGCCAAGAACATGAAAATACATTTGTGAACTTACATGGCTTGATTTGTTTTACTTTATTTTAAAAGTGATCAGCTCTAGTGTTTATTAAGAGAATGAGCCTTCTATGACAAGCTGGTAATTTTGTTTTAAAACAAATGAAGTTCGTTTGGCAGGCTGGGGCTCTATCTCCACTAGGATATGGTAGTTTTCTACAAGCTGTACGGCTGCCTTATTTTTATTATGTTTTGGGCAATAAGACTGTTTACATTGTACTATTCCCAGAACTTACTAACGTAACAGTTTGTCTAGGAATGTATTACAAATCACATCAACTTACTCACACACAGTGTATAACCATGTATAATGTTGGGGGAAACTCAAGTGGTTTATTTTAAGCTCGTTTTTACTGCTTAATCGGCAGTATACTGAATATCTACACGACTGTGGAGGAACAAAATGGCGAAGATGTAAAAATGAGTTGGGATCATCGGGCTCGATCCCAGAATTTGTACTCACTTGGCATCGCAAGCTGTGGGGGTGAAGTCCAGCTTGTGCTTGGTTCTGAAGATGAAGTTTTTGGTGCGAATCTCGAGAATGGAAGGAGGCTGCAGAGGGGCAGCCAAGGCAAACAGGGCCAGCTGAGGGGGGATGGCTGATCCGTCCTTCGACTTCCTGTTCTGTCCATGTAGAAACTTCAGGCGACCCTGAAAGTTCATTGCCTAAAGGACGCAGGGTAATAAATCAATCAGTACACGAGACATAGCAAAATGAATGTTTTGTTTCCACCTTTTAAACTGACTTGTAAAGAAGAAACCAATACATGAACATTACACCTTCAAATTCAAACATAAAACACTGACAAAGTAATGCCATCAACACATCAGCATTTCATCAATTTCCCTTCGGGATCAATAAAGTCTTATCTATCTATATCCATCAATATTTTGCACCATCTGAAAATTATTATTGGGAGACTAAATCAAGACCTAGGCGACATCTGCAGATTATAAATTTGCAACTGCATCTGCAACTATAAATTGTTTCCTGCTTTTAATAGACTAGTTGTGAAAAGGATTCACAACAGGGTAAGATACATTAAAAGTGCAATTTAAGGGCAGCGGTGTGGAGCGGTGTTTAGGGCTCAGGTCTTGTAAATGTAAGGTTGTGGGTAAAATTCCTAGGTTGGACTTTTTTCAGCAAGGAACATCAATCGCATTACTCAACCTAAATACCCAGCTGCATAAATGGTTACAAATGTTAAACTGCTATTGATAAAAGTATTAATAAAATGATTTTAAAAACGTATAAAATAACAATAGGAAACTCATTTTACGTAGTGCCAATTGTGTTTGCTTTGGTTTCTATGATGTATTTGAAGCAACTTAATTCATCTTGATTGAATGGATTGACATTCCATTTTTAGGAATGTCCACATAATCGGAGAAAACTGGCTAGAACATTTTTAGATATTTTGATATTTTGTAAATTCTATTCTATAAAGTATCAACTAAATAACAGCAAATGAAAGAGCAAGAATTAAAAAAATATATAAATATTTGCTTAAGGTAATATACCCGCAGCATACATGCCAGAACAATTTAAACAAACAAATATTGTATCTTTTTGGAATTACAAGGTTATTCAGAGACCTGTCATTTTATGAAAACAGCTTAACAGAGCACCTTACAAGGCTGAGAGCAGAACTGCAGGAGAAATCAGGCATCACAAACAATAAGCTGCAGTGTTTAATGATTATGTTATTACCTGTTACCACTGGTAGCCATAAGACTAAAAACAGATAGGAGCAAAGCAGTGCTTCTGTAGGCAAGCCTCAACAAGCTTGTGTGTGAGAAATTCAAATCACACTCTGCTTTCACTGATCAAGAAAAGCAGACTTTGAGATCCACCAGAATTATGAGATTACAGTGAAGTGCATTAGGCTCTGAAGAAGTGAATTTGGTGTCTTTTTTTTTATTTTGCTGAGAGCTTGCATGCAAAGCTATCGGCAAGATGACTTCCTGTTCCCGATATGCAGAAGGGTGACCCTTAGCTGACCCTGAGAAAACGGCAGCAGAGAAGAAACCTCTCATTTAACACACCATCCTCTTGGGTTCAACCGGAATGTGTTGAATTTTTAACCCTCAGCTGCATTTAATAATCAAAGAAACTGATACAGAAAGCAAACTAAAGGGAACTTTGTTCCCTGTGGACTTAAAATAACTGAACTTTCATGAACATTTACTTAACGCCGATTCAGGTTCTTTTTAAGAATCCATCTTCACAGTATTTTTTTTCTACTCACAAGAAATCCTGAGGAGTTATCCAAAAGGCATCGTAGTCTGCAGACAAAGTTTCGTTCTAAGAACGTAGAATTCTCTGGAGGCAGATGCTCTGGACTGTAGTAGGTAAGAGGGAGAGCTGGTTCGTTGTCTGCAGCTGAAAGAAAACATTCTTTTATCAGTTCATTTAATACACATTAACTTTTAACAAGTGTGAACAGTAAAATACAACCGATAAAACCTTCTCAAGAGTGTTTTACAATGTCACAACTGCAACTCGTTACAGTGATTACAGTCAAGCAGCTTAGACCTGGTGACTTGGGTGTTCATTAAAAAGCTTTGCATTTATATAGTGGTTTCAACCCAAAGGATTCCAAAGTGATTTACATATAGCTGTGGACCCAATTCACCCACCACTGAAGTGCAGCACCCACCTCTGCATGGCAGCCATTGTGCACCAGCAGGCCAACTACACAGGAGATCAGGAGAAGCGAGAAATTACTTCAGATCAATTAAGGGGGAACTTTAACCTTGCCAGAAGGTCCAGGAGCAGAAAGGATTTTTTTAAAAACTTCTCATCCCACAACGCAGTGTAGCAAGTCACCATAATGAGTTCAGAAATTCCTGTCTTGGGGGGGGGGGGAAATGACAATGATTTGACATTTTAAAAAGTACTTGATATATATATATATCAGTCACAGATGCATATATCCCCCTTACTACAAGAGGGCTACAGAGTATGCAATTTAGTGAACATCATGCTTTTGAAGCCTAAATTATATTCTTAACATCAGGTGCCACGTCAACAATGTTTTAAACGTGAATTTCACACCCCTGGAGTGTCTAAGCTGCACTTCTCATATTTCAATGGGCTTAAGAGGAAGCTCACAGTTTTAGAATGCTAAATATTCTAATTCCTATTTGACTATCAACAGCTATGTTATGTAGAGAACATATGGCTTAACACCAAATAGCAAAAGCCTACACTGTTAAAATTAGAGAAATGAAACCATTCTCATACTAAAGATCAATCTCATACAACACCGATCTGAAAAGAATACACACTATATTGTACTCACAAATCACCCCCCATAACTAATATATAAACAAAACCCTGGAAACAAATCTACTAAATTTGTAAGCCTACATACAGTATAACAACTAACAATGCACATTTCTTTGCTGTATCAGAGTGATACTGTTAACACTGTTAAATGTCATGGGTAGGACTTGTAAGACACCACCACAGTAGGATCATTATGTTTCATCACCATCTTAAGCATTTGAAAGCAATGCAAATGAACACTAGGAAAAAAAGATGACCGCTTCTAGAAATTAAACACTTTAAGTGCCCGGAGGGCAATTTCTGCTAAAAAGCATTTTAAAAAATGAAACAATTGTCTGATGGCATAGGCATAAAGCATCTTCGGGATCATAAGTTTACAAATTATTTTTCTGTGATAGGCTGAAAAGACTTTTGTTTTAATGACTTTGGAATACCATCTTTCTTCGGGATAAATTACACACCACAGATATGTCTCTTGATAACAGCTGTTTGCTAAATAAAGTTCAGACAGTAAACTGTGAGTCATGTAGCATGTCTTCAGATGGGCAATGTAAGATGATCTGGTGCTGGAGTAAAAAAAAAACAACAAGTGACTCTGTAAAGGAACAGGGCCTCTGAACAGCAGGAACACTAATTGTGAGTCATTCTGAGAGGAGCATGAATTTAGGTTTATATGACCTGGTGTCACTTGGCCCATTGTCTAAAAACAAGGATTAATATGAGGTTTACTTCCTTTACGCTGTAACCTCAGGGAAATGCAGTGATAGACTGCTACAGGTGACAATTCAAATGCCCTAGGGTGGTGGCTGATAATTTGCACAGCCCATGGGACCTTGGAAGCCTTCAACGCAAGGGATTTTTCCTTCCGATATATTCAGCTCACACTCCTCCTACTGTCCACCATGTGCACTCTTTCCAGGCCAGCCAGCTCCCTCTGGACTCCACACATGCCCCCGCCTCTCAAACAGCCCCGCCTACCAGGCCCTCGCTCAGGCCAGTATCTGCAGTAACTGCTGCAGAAGGGTCCGACGTCTTGGCACAGATCTCGTCTCAAAATCAATCCAGAAATGTCTGAAATTAAATACTGTTAAACGATGAAGTGGGTGGTTGTATCCAAGGCCCTTAAAAAGAGAATGTAACACAGGAACCTGGCCCTGGGGTGAGACAGGCCCTGATGTGCTTGACAAGTGATCTTTCACTGTGCACAATTAACCCAGAAAAGCTCGATTCAAACTATGCCATAAGGGCGGAGCGGTGGCTCTGTGGCTCAGGATCTGCGCCTGTGGCTGGAAGGTTGCCGGTTCGTATCCCGGGGCCGCAAAGCTGGCGGAGGTAAGGAGCAGCCAAAGTGCAGCTCCACCTGGGCGGAGTGCTGCAGCCACTATGAGAAAATCCCTCAATCCAGTATGCCTAGATTAAACAAGCCTAGAGCGCAGTTTAGCCAGGTATCAGGTTAACAGCTTAAAACCTCAGAACAGCACCCTAGAATGATTAGGATGTTAATTAATGACCTTGTCCAAAAGACGGTACCTCCTACAATACAGAGTCCTCACTAACCATACTTTTAAGCGACCTGAAAACTGTGGACCAGAGGGAATAGTGCCCCCTGCTGGTCCACCAATATCACAATCTTAATGGAAACAGATTTTCCTTGGAAACCTCCCATCTTGGTACGGACCAGACGCAGTCTTGGTCATGTAATTATTTTTTTACACAGAAACTCTCGACGATGGACCTAGATCTGAAATTCTGCTTAATTTTCAAGCTCATCAAACAAAAGGGAATCTTCCACTATTGTTGCGACCCACGTCATATGCTGGCTTGTGTGTTGCGAGCTTGGTATACTGCCAAACACTTAACACCCCTGGGAAGCATGTCTGGCAGTTTATGGAGCTCTTTTGTACAAGTAAATGTGCAAACCTACTGTAAGAATATTTGCAGTCTTAATTAATGGAATCTAAACACCAGGTATGCGATTTATTATATTTAACCTTTTAACCTTTGCAATTTTAAATATTTTATCAATAATTAAAGCCAGAGACTGCTGCCTGTTTGGTATGTAATTGTGTTTAAATAATTTCACAGTCTTCAAGTTATTTAACCATAATTTAAGATTCTACTTTAATGCTTATAGCTATTTGCATTACAATGGGAGTTTTACATAGACTGTTCGTCATGTCACCAAAGACAGTGATTTATATACTGTAAATAGAAATAGTTTTGCAGTTTTTTATTCAAATTTTTGGTATTTAACCACTTTCTAAAAAGCAGTTTAAAAAAGCATATCAACTTTAATAAAGCAAAACCTCAGTTTAACAGACTGGAAAGAGCTGTCCATTATTGCTGATATTGTCTGATAACTCATGTGGGTAGTTTTTCGAGCCCATTCATTTTAATATGAGAAATATATACTTTATTTTAAGAATTGCACTAAACAAAGTTTATGAAAATTGTTTCATTTTCTTTTTTTAACCTAAATATACAAGCTCTTTATTTCATGCGTCAAACATGCTGTATAAAATTCGCTAAAGCATATGAAAAATATACATCTCCCATTGTAAGCAACCAATTTACTCCTATAGGGTATAACTGATCATTGTAAAACTATGCAGTATTAATTTTTACCTTGATTTATTACATATGCATTTCTCTGTTATTGCAGGGAAAGTTTGGTATTTCTGATTTTACAGACAAAATTCCCCTCCAGGGGATTTTGCTAAAGCGACATCAAGGGTTTACTGTACAATTCTGATTTCTGTCTGCAAAACTAGCTAACAGATTTTTACAAAATACAGTGCAGGTCTGCAAAAGGATGATGATTAAGGACTCCAGAAGAGCATACCGTGCTCACTTCTTTCTCATCTACTTGTTGCTGTATTACACGTCCAGCTCTCACAGAACAGGTTGTCACCGAATGATGTGATTTAAATATCTTGGAATGACAACTTATAATGTTAATTTCTGGAACATGCACAGGTTGGATTCACCCATGTTCAGATTTTATAAAGCACATAAACATTTGCATCACTTTACTTCAGGAGAGCCATCTCAAGTCTGCTCATGTTCAAGATTTCAGAATAAACACTGTACAGTCATTGCACATTCTTGCACACTTAATAGAACAAAGGAGATGCTTGTAGTGGTTGATAGGAAGATGAATATTGCCATCAATGGTTTCACAACTAATCCCACTGGCATTTTTCTGTCAAGTCATGGTAAAGCTAAAAGTATTAAGATGTGCTTCAGTTTATGTACCCAATGTTTCATTGTTTTCTTACATTTGTTGTTAAGAAATTGTTTTGAATATTAAGTATAATGAAAATATGTAGGACCAATTCAATGCTGTTCCAATTAGAAAAAGAACATAGATACTGTAAGTAATGAAGTAATTATACAATGCACATAAGACTGAAAGAGACTATGTGACATCTTTGCTGCAAATTGGTGAAAGACAAAATAAACTGTTAAAAAAGGAGTTTAATAATAAACTAGTGCCTTTACACACGATCAGACAACAGCTGAGATAGCATTTACAGTTGTTTTAACACTTCTATTTCTATAACTGTACAATGCACTAGATAGATTTTTTTAGTGGCACACTCTTTGCACAATACTTGTGTTAAGAGTGAGATACTTTACTGTTTATTTTTAAAGACTGAATAACAAAGGCATCAATGCAACGTGTTTGGATGTTTAATGCCCAACAATGGGAGTACTAGTTTCTTCAACAAAATCATTGTAATGGCCTTTAAAATGACAATGTCATTAATCTAAAGTGAAAAAGAGCTGTACAAGAGAACTAAAGGCAAATAAGTCCAGTGGATAGAAACAAATTCAAATAAATCAATGCTCATCCAGCATAAAACCAATCTAAGAGCATAAATAAAGAAAATCAAATCAGGTTGTGCTTGTGTAAAAGGAAAACACATTCCAAGATGAACACTGCTGCTTGCTTTAAAGTATGACTTTGACAGTCACATTTAACAAAACAATGGCAACAGTTCGTACACTATCTCTTAGTTGTAATAATTACAGGCAACTGCATTTCTGACACTTTCTCTCCTTTTTTTTTTTTTAAGGAAAACACACATGCCTCAACCCACACACAGTATTTTGCATTAATGAGCCAGAAGCTAAGTTAAAAAATACTGCCCTATAAATATTTTACAGCATTACACAACGCACCCCGTCACATTTGTTGGCTGTACTGTTACAATGGGGGGGGCACATTGTTGTTTGGATAAATGACCAGTGCTGGAATGTTGTACTCCGGAGTTAAGGTCAGGGACACGCGGAGTGACACTGATAGCAATCACACACAGTGCACAAGGCTCACCTTGTCTCGAATCTGGAGGCATCTGGGGATTCAGAGCCCAGTGAAGCTGCCGCTGAAATTCTGCCCTGTCTTCGGTGTGAATGAGGTCGTAAACACTCTGATGAATAACATCTGACTGAAAGAAACAAACACGCAGAAATAGCTTTAAAATAAAGTGCAAGCTAATATAAGTGAAAGAAGCCACTCGTTGCCGACTGATTCAAAACACATATGCTGGAAAACACAAACTCTTCTTTGAGTCTGTAAGTGCTCAAATTGCTGTCAGACTGGGAAAAAAAAAACTTAAACCGGCCTTAAAAATTCCAAGGACCAAAGCTTTCAAACTGGTTTCATATCTTTCTGGGTGATAAAAGCATACGTACAAGCTTACTGGTCACGTTTAGAGCGTGTCATTCAAAAGCACAGACACTGGAAAAAGGGTGAGGTGTACTGTTACATATTAAAAAGAGAATTCAAACTCAGGAACTTAACAGAGAGAAATCAAAAGTCTCAGAATCGGTCCAAACTCGGAAAAAAACGTTCTAAAGGTATACTTTTTGGATAATGCTACAAACCAACTAAATGCATATTTTAATTTTAACTAATAATTATAATTTAACTTGCGTAAGAGAAGATATACTGTAGTGTGTATGGGAGACTTCAGCTTTTTCCACAGACTGGGAAAAACCCATAGAAATGTCAACAGTAGAAAATGAAAAGGCAGACAGGGCTGAAGACTGCTACCAAGTTAGTTGGAGTACCTTTAAGAAGAAATGTTTGTATATGAAGGCAGTGAGGCAAACAGAAGTGAAAGAACCATTATAATCATAATCAGTGTAAAGTTTATTCCAAGAGAGAACAAACCAAAAACCAAAAGAGTATCCCATATAATTCAACAAATTATATTATAAACAAATCTCAAAAAGAGAGATGAAAAGGAATAATGCAATAAAGCCTAAAAGGGGTTATTTCAGAACTATAACTGCAAAATAACTGCATAAGGATAAAATAAAATGCATCGAGGATTGTAAGGGGAAACGTTTAGACCATGAAAAGGAAATGGATGATGCAGTTGAAGTTCTTCACTCAGGTGTTCACTAAGGAAGAAGTCAACAACAGGCTTCAGGCAGCACAATGACCATTCTGTATTTCTGTATTAAAATCAACACACAAGAGGATGAAGTGTTGAAGGCCCTGTTCAAACTGTACTTAAGAGAAACAAAAGATGATATCTGGAAGCCACTGACAACTGCTCAAGACAATGGCAGTACCACCACCAGCACCAGGGATGGGTGGACAATGTCTAGTGCTCATCCGTAAGGAAATGAAATGACAGGATGAGATCAATTGAATCTGTTTAGTACAAACTACCAAAAAGGCTTGTTTGAAAGTATGTTTAGTTTAGACAAAGTTTAGTTTTAATTTTAATTTGTGTTCATGGCAAAAAGAAGAGAATTAAGGCTGTACTGGAGTATACCAATTCTATAAAATAATCATTTATATACTATAGCACATTTAACAGCAAGAATCTTAAATAGTATTGCCCTTTAGTCTGCACTGTTTTAGCACAAATGAAAAAAAAGATTTATTTAGCCTATAAGCTCTTTTATTAGCTCTTCACTGTAAAAGTACAAAAATAGCGATCAAAAAGTGGTTTTGCATGAGGGTATACCACTGTATCCTCTTAGGGCAGCTTTTAACCTCTGTGGTAGATAAATGCCTGCATGCTTCTATGTCGTGTGATAACCTGAAACTGCACATTACTTAACGCAATAGAAATATCAATGTTGAAATGTTGAAGACTGCTACTTAGAGGCTATATCTAACAGAAGGCACCTGTAGAGCAGAGAAATTTCTTTGAATTACGTGTTTTTATATACAGTATATACAATAAATATACATGCACTAATTCACGATCATGTTTTTTTTCATGTTGATGTCCTTAAAATAATGGCAAATCCATACAAAACTGTACTATAAAAAAAAACTGTCAGTCTTCAATAGTCTTTCCTTAACCCCCAAGGGAAATATCCCTTGTCCTCCTATACTTAACTCACAGTATTATGTTACAGCAGTCAACATGCTTAAGGCAAGTTTTCATCTATTATAAATTTGAAGTAAACACTTCTTATGAAATGCTACACAAACTGTATTAATTTCCACTTCAATTTATTAATCCCCTCTAGACTTTTGCCTGTATTTTGCTCTAACATGTTCCAAACCATAGCTCTGAAGACTTTTTATGGGGTATTAATCAAGCATTATTTTACAGTCTCTTCTCTCAACATATTGCCAGTTTTTAAAATAAATACAAGTTAATGCAAATACATTTGTCATTTAAAAAAAGCTAAAAAAAACACAATTGGCAATAAGTCTATATAGTCTAGCATGCGGAGAACCGAGCACTGCCACAGCACGGTAAAAGAACCTCCATCGTATAATAATGATTTAATAATTGCTTACACTTATGCTTCATTCTACAAAAAAATATTTTACAGTCTGTCAATTTACATGATGTGTTCTCAGAAAAATCAATGAAGTATATCTGTAGTATTTTACGATTAAATGTGAAATGAAAATGGTCCCTTTCTGAAAGTTTTAACAGCACATTATTTTTTAGAATGACATACGGGGCTTTCCACAAATCTGAAATGAGTTGTTCTTGTCTTCTAAGCGTTAATAAAAAGGCTGCTTTCAACAGTTTCCTTGTTTCATGAGACTGAGCAAAAGGTTTCGTTGTACAGGCAGTCTCTTAAGCTAACCTCTTTTGCAATAAATATTTAAACTGCCAGGGAAAACAATGTGGCTTAACTGGCTGAAGGATGATTTCATGCAATGTAAATACTCCAATAGCAATAGCACCCAGGAGTTTAAGCTCAATGGTGAATCACGTATAGCACAGCCCAATGTTTTCCCAGTTGAAGGTAACTCTTAGTACTTTACCCCCTTGAAGTTATCTTTCAGTTTATTTTGTACACCCGTTGAGAAAAACAAGCTGTTGCTCGTCGCCTCCTGTAATGTTTTTTCTAAAGCTGTTCAATGCTGAGATCTTGAGAACAAGAAGTGAGAAAGAAGGGATTTCCCCTGCGTATAATTTGATTAGACAATACAGATTTACTTTAGTCATCTTGTAATAGATAATCAGGTTTTAAAATAATGATTTATCCCTCATTTACCAAAATGAATGTGTACATATATTTTGCACACAGCTTTGCTGCCCATTTCTCTAAAGCCCTTCAGTCTGTGAACTGACACATTGCTTTATTCAGCACTTACTGTGAATCAGACATTCATTCAGGACCAAAGTGGCCATTTAGCCTAATTGCTTCCATCCTAAACATGCTCTCTCAGGGGTGAGGAATTCAAGACTGGCTCATTTACAGTTTGTTTTGTTACAAAGTATAAATTTTTTTTAAATAAATCTGAGCAGCTCCGAATATGTCATTTCTCACTGTGTCCATTAATCTCAATTGCCGAAACCTATCAATTGCAAATTCCTTCACATGATAAGATTTTAACTCTTGCTTGAAAATATGTATTTAAGCCCAGATTTAGGGGTTTATGCTAACCAGGGTGATGTGTATACATGTAGTGAATATAGGTAGATATAGGTTGGCATCACGAGACTAAGAACAACAACTCTCAGAATAAGGCATCAAGTGTCTAACATTGCTGCTGAAAAATGCAGTAAGAAATATTTATATACAGACTACTGGCAGTTTTGTGCTTCTCCCAGGCCGACTACAACTACTTTCACAATGGTTATTTCTCTTTTCCAAACGAGGGGAAGAATTCACCGATGACTATACTTCCTAAATAAATAAGGTTACAAACAAAAGGAGGCCATCGGCCCATCTAGCCCATTCTTCTTCTTCCTTTTACCAACAATTCACTCAATTATTAGACTCTTGTCCAGAGAACAGAACAAATGTTACTTGGATAGAAAAGCAAAAAATATTAATTGTTTGTCAGGCATGGCTTTGCCACGTAATACATACAAATGGATGTGCATGCATATCCATCTTCAATTGCTCCATCTAATGCATTCCTATATATACAGTATTTAGTGAAAACAATTTTTCATTGTTTTCAATAAAACCCAGTATTGGGCAGTGCTGGAAAATAAATGGTTAAGTCTCTTGGAAGATCATGGTGAAAAACAAATTACTCATACCTCACTGACCTTTAAATCTGTAAGATACACTTGGATCAAAACTATAATGTGTCATTGAAACGGAAAGTCTGTTCTTTTAGATTAACTTTTCCATCAGGCATTTCGGGCTACGGGCACTAGGAAAGGTTGCTTCTAGGCAGACGCTAATTGTGTTTATGTGACTAAGTCCATGACTCTATTATATGGGTGGTCAGCTGTGCGCAGTTTTTTTATACTTTAAGTTTTTAAGCAAGCACATGTGTGATCATTCTTGAAGACAATCAGGAAATTGCATTACATAGTAAAGCACACCGCGTACATTTAGACTGCCGCATTCTTGAGCTCTACTCATCGGCCAACAGCGCCCGTTCCAAATGGCTTATTACTTCAGGACATCTGCTTTTTGCTGCAATTCTGGTTTCTGCTTTAGACAGATCCAGTCCCGTACGGTGGCGTCTTCCCGATGCGCTGCTGTTGCTTCTACCTCACCCGGTTCTACAGCACGATACGGCTTTAGAAGAGCCACCACCTGCTGGCTGTCACGGCGCAGATAGTGCCAGAAAGCCTGACCCTCGTGGCTCAGCGTTCAGTTAATGCCCTTCTCTGGCTCTCTACCTCCCCATCAAATGTCATGTTCTTCAAGGAACTGTGTTCTTGTTCTATGTTTTATCACCAAAGACAGGGAATTGTGTGCAGCAAGTAAGTAGTGTAGTGTGTGCACTAAAGAGGTTAAATGCAAGAAAGGGTCACAAAACTCCATAGTTTAACAGCCCTGAAAACCGCTACCAACTTTCCAGTTGTGGTCAGGAAGTCTCTTGCTTTCTGTACATCCACGATGTACAGTATACTCTAGCTGAAAATGCTGGCCTTGTGAGCCCGTTACAAGTCGTAAAAAATTGCGACAAATGCCATGACTCAGGAGCCCTCCAGACATTTATGAGTAATTAAATTTAGGAATGCAATATGTGCTATACAACTGGTTACATCAAATTAATCAGGGCACAACCAGGCAAATGCCAGTGTAAGTTTGAAGATTAATTTACATACTGGAAACAATCTCAAGAGATTTGAGTCTATGATACTGAAACAGCACACTTCATCAAGCTGAGAAAAGTGGGAAATTACATTAATTTTATTTCAGATGTTATCCCACTAAAAATGCATTATGCATAATCCATTGTGGAAAAGGATTTAAATAGAAATACCTGCAGAAAGCCTAAAAGGTTGGAGGTTCATTGCAGGGATCATAAAGAATGAAATAACCAGGCGAAAATAAAATATCCCTTCAGCAGGCAAAGCTCCGCCTCCCTCAGCAGGTGACAGCTGGTTTCCGACCTCTTCACACAACACAAGGGGAAACACAGTAACGTCTCTCCCTTCCTTGTAAAAGCTGAGCTCAAAAATAAATTAAAAAATAAAAGAATATCTATTTATTACAAATGACCTTTAAGGTTTTTGGCATTTGGCAACCTTTGTAATCTTCATATGAAGCTGAAATCTCTGCTGTGCACGGCATACTTTGCTGCAAAAAAAATTTAAAGCAAGCATCCACTGTAGTCCCCATAGAGTAACTGCTGAAAACACGGGGTTTACTTGCTGATAATTCTCCCGCCAAAAACCTTCACTATTTCATGTCTTCAGCTTGTTACTGTAGCTGCGATGTTTATTTACAGATAAGCAAATAGGAGAGTTTATAAGCAGATTAATTCTGCCTTGTAGTTGATCTTGTGTGAGCCTTACATATGTTGCTAATCCGTGAGTTTACAGTATAATTTTCCATTTCATAGCTTTGTCATAATATACTTTGTTGCCAAGCCTTTTCTAGTATCTCTCTCTCAGGGAAAAGGTTTCAATTTGCCTTGCTTTTCTTTTCCATTTATATCTAGAGCTACTGTGAATGTTTACTTTAGTTGTTTTGGGTTTTTTATACTTTGCATAGAAATAATTTCAACTGAACATGGAGGAACAAAGCCTTCCAAACGCAGAAAAGGTCATTTTTTAATTGAATGGAAAAGGATAGACTTATTTTTCAAGAACTTGGCTGTTACAAATAACAGGAAAGACACGACTGCATCTGTTATCTCTGTTGTACTATGAAGCCTACAGAGTGTCAAGCTATATGGCATTAAAGGAAATCAAGCACATTCTTGCTATCCAGTATAGACATTTCTGTATACTGTACTGGTTGTGAAAAACAAATGTCTAAATAAAGACCCTCAGTTTTAAAAGTGTTTTATAAACACAACATTATTGGGAAAATGCTCTACAAGAGGTCGCTGTTGTACTCGGTGTGCAGCCAGAAGACACTGAGGATCAATATTTAGGGAAAACTTAATTAGGAGTCAGTTAAAATTCCACTGTGTTATTATAAAGCACACTAACAAAAGACATTAAACACATCATCGTGATATTCTGAGAATATTCTGTTGAAGTCAAAAATCTATTACACAACTACAACACTAATTTAAATTAGAAAGACAGGAACTTGAATTCAGGGGTTTTTTTTAGGCAATTAATGAAATACCGACAACACATGATCAGTATTAGAAATAAAATGGAGAGCACTCAACCAAGCACCAAGGGTGTCCAAATGTACATTGACACAAAAGATTTTTGAAAAACTGAGCAACAGACCTCAAATCCTGAGAACACACGCATCTATTGTACTGTACCATACACACACGTAGAAGTTTTAAAAATGAAAAATATTTCGTTAGCTACAGCTTTGTTTTACAAAACCATTCAAATTCTTCCTTTGCAAAGTTAAAGGCCAAAGACAAAAAAAAATATTTTACTTGGCATAAAATAGCATCTCAGTGTCCGCCAACATTAAGGAAATACCACAGCAATCATGTTCTCGGAACTTGAATTTCTCACGCAATTGTCGCCTATTTGAACAAAGTGCGAGTCGAGAAACAAGATCAAGAAATACTACTCTGTGGCAGGAAAGGAATGCTTACCTGATTAAATCCAAGGTAGTCCTGTATTGTAGATGATGCATAGAAGACAGCACCCTCAGCAGTAACCACCAAAACAAAGCCATTCAGAACCTGAAAAATAAATCCATGGAAGTATGGAAAAAGATTGATAAAAAGATTTCTAAAACAAAATCAGAATGTCTGAATGATTTTTTCCTTCACTATATTCTATATTCCTTTGTAGTCGAATTACTTAATTTCAAGCCAGATTCAATATTAAAGAGGAGATCTTAGTACAGTAAGTGGTGCTCTTCACAAAAGGCAATGTGGATACGATTAGAATGGAATGCGAGCAGGAATTTGCCAGTGGAAAGGAATTTTTAGTGAAATATCCTAAGTGATAAGAGCAGGAAAGTTAATGTCTTGTAACAGATAACATCTCAAAGAGAGTGAACAGACTGCAGGTTCACAGGATAGAATGAAAAATCTCCACATTAAAAATGCTAAATCCTTCCGATTTTGAATGTAACCGATTTAATCTTTTCCAACCATTTCATGAAACAAAACCAGCTTGTTTTACACAGACAACAAATCACATTAAAGCCCTAAATAAACTTTATTATTGTCCATAACCAGCCTTATGAATCTGATGACAATCTGATGTGGTCATTATTTCAATTTTCATCAGAACCAACAACCAAGTATCAAATAGTGGCAGTACCAAGCTTCTCTTTAGTAAAACCATCCAAACAAAAATGTTTTTTTTTTAAATAATTCATGCTTGCAGGTTGGTTTACAAAACAGACGATTAAATGTGAATTATCTCAATAAAAGATGAGCGATCCATTTCTCTCCATGTATTATACTGTAGGTCACTAAGAGATCCAAACAGTTACAATTATCCTCAATCATAAAGAAAGGCAACCAGGCGTACACCTTTCATTTTAAATTAAATGACTGATAGAAACTCCAGTGTTGGCCAATGAGCGCATGTCCGTACGACTGAATCCATTCCAATAGAAGTACAAGGGAATCACATTTCAGCAGAAATCGATAACACATCTTCATTGAAACAAGCAATTTCTAGAGAGTTCTAGTCTCAGCACCCAAAAAAGGTATAATTATGTGCAGACAGAAAGTACTTCATGCAACCAGATGTGAAAGACTTCCACAGAAAAGGAAACCGTCAGCCTACATGAGCCCAACCGTCAGACAGACGCGATGTACAGTATCGATATCTTATCAATGTACAGAATCGATCTTATACAACACGATAAGAACCTGCCAGCAAGCATTTATTTCACTTATTCAAAATTATAAGGGTACTGTACAGTAATATACTAAAAAATGACAATATATTTATTTTATTAATGATTTTTGAAGCGATAATATGCCTTCTGTTAGACGGCAGAGCTGTCAACATAAAATTGGAATATAAGTTTGATAACGTACTTTTACTCCAACATTGAGACCGACTCCAACAGCCCTTAACATTTTTATTTATTTATGATTTAGTTTCAAGACCGGTGCCAGCAAGCCGAAATAGCTTTCCGTTTCCCGCCCTTTATGCGAAGCAGTTCTCCAAGATGCTCTCTGGAGGTATATAAAAGAAAACTTCCAGAGCGGCTCACCAGGTAAAGGTACTCATTTTAGCACAGGATGAACGACATAACCATGTGCCAGAGCTAGGCAAATCCTGGTCATTGTTGGCTAGTAAAGTACAGAGAGGAATGAGCCAGCCAGGACCCTGCTGGGTCTCAACAACTCAGCGGCTGCCCTGGTGCTTATAGGCTAGTGGCACTGTCAGTGAACTTCCCGTATGGGGCAGGACTGCCTGTGACATTGTGAAAAAGTGATTGGCTAGAAAGTGGGTGGGCGGGACTAGTCAGGCAGAACTTCCTCTTTCTCCCCTGTGTGCAGTCACAGGGTTCACCTGCTGGAAACACAATTTGCTCAGAACCATCAGAGCACAACAAAAATAATTAGATTCTAAAAAATATCCCCCCCCCATTTATGACCAATAAGAGTTGGTCTTATTTTTATTTTGTTTTTCTTCCACATGGATAATTTCCATGATGATTGTACCATTATCACCATTATTCAGTTTAAATGTCTAAGAAACGATTTATTTCTATCAAATATCACTGTACCATGGTGAACACCAGATGTTTTATTTTAGTATCCAAGACGAATGTGTTATAGTTTGGGAGGGTGTGTAGGAGTAGTAGTACATTTGTAGTTTCAGAATTGATTCTAAATGAAAAAACGTGACTACTATAGTAAAATACATTTCCTGTATTTTACAAATCACTTAAATCAGTGCAGCTTTTCTGTACTAAGCAAACTGCAGCATTCAAAACCCTTATTATTGCCGACATTAAGTAAATTTAATTATGGATTTAATACTTTGTGTAACTTAAAAATGTACATTAACTATACTTGACATCAAAGTTATATGCCAAATCATAATTACTAGTAAATGAAATAAGTAGCAAACAAAATACCAATGACATACTTAAAAGGGAATAAACTGTCACTATATCTTTTGCGGAATTACACATTATAAAGAACTGCAGAATCCAATCGTAAATAAAAAAGTCAATTTGAAGCAAAAGCAAAATAGATATGAAGTCATAACAGAAATGGAATTTCATTAAATTGCAAATCACAAAATTAAAACATGACAATTCTAAAAAGCAATACCATCCACATTTGACTGTTTTACTTTTACTTCGACACAATAAATCTCATCACATGACCAGGTTTACCAGTATTTAAACCGAGTTGTTTAGTTTTAAAAGTGTCCTTCTAGCATCCAGCACAACGAGTGCAGGGGAGTTATTTTTAAACGGAGGGGGGGTTTTCTCAGGCACGTACCAAACCCATATCCGGCAAGTTATGAAATGTGTATAATATGTCGCCAAACAATTAGCAGTAATTATTTTTAAAAATCTGCTACAACTGCTTCATCGTCACAATCAAACAATGTTTTGGAAGAGATTTCCCTCATCACAAGCTGCTAGACAAAGCGTCTCCGTCTTGATAAGTCACGCAAAGAGCATTTATCTGCGCTGAAAATCAATAGAGCTCATAGTGCTTGTTGTGATAGCAAATACAACATTTGAGACTTGGCAAAAGGAAAGAGCTGGGTTTCACTTTTACTAGATTAAAGCTCCACTGCAGGGGCTGGCTTTCTCTGATCTGTTTAAGGCAGCCAGATATTCCCATACAACTTTGCAACAAACATGTGGGTTGGTACTCGTATTTTAAAAAGGTGAGTAATATAAAGATGTCTATTTTTCTTTTCTTCTTACACTTCCAAACATTTGTTGATGCTGCCACAACAGTTAACTACACTTTTAAAGCAGAAAGAGGTGACAATGTAAAGCTGTTCCAACAACCCGAACTCATGTGCTGGCGTTTTCTGTACCAGCAAATTACTTCAGAAAGCAACCCCACGCACTTCAGAAAGCAGTCACATGCCTGTAGGCATTCCTAAAACATACAGCAATTACCATACATTTATTAAAGAGACAGCTGCTAGGAATTTTCTCAATGAAGCTCTCAAACAATGAGCGTTTAAGCGATTTCCTTACTTTGTTTTAGTCGAAGAACTGTCCCCCACACACACATTACTGAGTAAAGTGCGTGCCCTCCAATATGTGAACAGATTTGGATCCTTAAGGATGAAAAGCACTAGATATAATAATCACTTTGTCACTATGCTCATGTTTCACTTGCCCTTGCTCATGGCACAGGCTCGAAGCCATACAGCGCTGTGCCATTATAAGAGCTATTTTTTTTATACAGATTAATTCCACTGTCATGAAGGTCTACTCCAGCAAACCTAAACTCAGATCCACGAGGAGATGCATTTGTCTTGTATTTTGCAATGTAAACTCAAACGGAAACCTTAGGCCTCTGAGCGTTCAGTATACTCCATTACGTCCAGCTGTAGCCACACCACAATCACTAGAACAATGACGATCCTGAAACCGTGATGAGCTTCAGGTTGTCCATCACCTGAAAATTGGTTTTTAATTATTTCCAGACAAGATGCTCTTGCATTGGTGAAGGTTACCTCTTGCAGGTTCAAAAATATTGTATCTACTTAACAAAAACACATCCCACTGAAGCTCCCTGCCTGAATGTCAGTAGATGCTCTACATTTACAAGCAGTTCTAGGTGCAATGCATAACTTCTCACTTCACTGTTGAACACTCAACATTCAGCTACGTTTCTGAGGCTGCTTTCCTAAAGAAATTGCTTTGAAAGGGAAGGGTAAAAAAAAAATCTTTGAACACGTGAAAAAAGCTTCCCCATATAAGCTGTAATTCAGAAATGTTTCCATGCTTAATGATTTAAATTAAAAATTTTCGGAATGTAGAGGTGCTATTGCCTGCTGTAGACAACCAGTAAACCCACAAGGAAAACCGAGCAGTAGTGTAATCAACGTACGTTGCAAACCTAGTTTTCTCTGAAGTACAAAATCTTGGATATACTAATGGAAATTCTTGTTCAGCCATGTCCCAATCGGTCCTTTTAACTGCAGTGCATTCCTTATGTCAGCTTTTGCCAGACCACTGTAAGAAGCATGAGTATGTGGAGTTTATAGCACTGCACCATTTTGACTTGCTTATTCTTTACTGAAGATTGTTAAACAACTCACAGATCCAAACGTTTAAACATGTTAATGCACGTTTTTGTTTTGCTGATCATTTAAAATATGGGGCGATCAGCTCTGCAGCAGTGAAGGTTGCTCGAAAGCTCGAAGGCTGGCACTGCAGAGGTCTTCTCGAGAAGGAACTGCAGATTGATTCAGGAGGGTGAAGCCCGAATGATAAACCCAGGGAATTTCTTTACATCCAGCAGAACAAAAAAAAAACAGTGCAGGTATTTTTGGGGGTTGAAGGCGTATTCTTAAACGCCACCTCTCGCTGAATTACTGGCAGTATCGGTCTGCTCTTCTACCGATCTTGGCTTTCTCCTGCCTCTGTACGGACTGCACACTCCCACCCGTGTTGGCGTCTGAATCCACCCCGCGCAGAGCTCACCTGCAGGAGCAGCTCCCCCTCCAGGAGCTCGTCCGTGGAGTGCTTCAGGTCATGGAGCCCATTGCCATCTGGTTTCCTGCCACCGTTGGGCTTCAGAGCTGCTGCAAGACACCGAGGACAAGAATCACCACACAGAACACCACCGCTGACAGAAATGAGGGAAAACGGCAGTGTCGTCTGGAGCTCAGAGCACACGATTACCACACTGAACCAGGACATGTGGGCCTCAGGAACGGTTAGGACCTCTGAGGAGAACAAACGCATTTTGATCCAATCATTTTTAAAAATGAATGGCTGAAAATAGCCAAACTACTGTAGGGGAAAAGAACAGCAATAGAATATATATACATAAAAATATGTATATATTTAAAACAGTTCATCTGAAATTAGCCAGAAACATTAATACTGTATACTGTATGATGATATCAAACGGGAATACAAAAGGCGGTGCCTTAAGGAATTTCTCAAATATTTTTAGTAGCAATTTGTTAATACTAAAACATCTAACACTTACAGAGGTACATTTGTATGTACAAAGGTATATTTGCATTGTACAATAATTTATAAAACTTAAAGAAACTCTACAAGGAAACATTATTATTAGTCACAGGTAATGCACATATGTTAAAATAATGTATATGAAATATTAATTATAATGACGGACCAAAGATGCTCAATCAATTTTGTACCAAAACAAAAAAGCTCTTTATATAACGTGCAGTGAGAATAAAATTCCTTCAAGGCTTGAAGCAATTTATCACAGCTTGTTGATAATTTGAATCTTTATCGCCACATATTTTCCCAGTATTATCACTTTCAACAAAATCAAAGCATTTTTTTTTGCTTCAGGAAAATAATTTGAGCTTTACTGTTCCTGCATAACTGGGTAAAACATGGAAGTTTAGACCAGATACAAATCAATTATTTCCTCAGCGTAGGTTAAATGTCAGGGTGTGCCTACTGTGGACTAATTAATTAACATATTTAACAGTCTGTTTGTGCATTTAGATGGCAGGAGTTCAACTGACAAAAATAGACTTAACTTGGAAACAAAAAAGCAGGGCTGCTGAAGCATACGTCCCTCGATAAAAAAGGTAATTACTGAGTTTACAGTAAACACCCTGGCCTACTGAGAGCCGGAGTGAGAGCATTCAGCACACTGTCGGAGCAATTTCAATCTAAACTGACAGCGCTGGCCAAAGCAACACTCTAGTCGGTTAGCTAGGTTTAACAGGGCAAACTTACGCCGCACTAAGCTCGTGGTAGCGACCCATACAAAGCCCTTCAGTTTAAACAATCAATCTTACTTCTGAGACCAATGAGTTGGGTTATATGTTCTTGGTCAGTACTGGGGAACCTTTTAAACATTGTATGAAAATAACCGTACACCTGATGAGAAAGTGGAAAAGCAGAGATTATATACTGTACAGTATGTGACAAAAGGTCGTCTGTCTCCTGTGAGCACTTCAGTTTATTACTGGGCAAAAATACATTTTGCAAAACCTCAGCAAGGCAGTGCTATGTCTAACTTTACTCCAGCTAATATCTATCAATCATGTCAAACAGGAATGTCATATAAGCAAACAAAAGGCTGTTGTTAACTAAATAAAAACATGCCTCGATGACTTTAGTATGGAAAAGGATGATTTCACTTATATAATAAAATGAAAAGGAAATGACAAGGCACAAAAGGGTAATTACTAATGCTTTTATTCTCATTTTATCCAAGGTGAATTAAATATCATCACCCACTCACACCTTTTATTGCCCTTAGGGTAATGTATCTTCACACTTTTGAGTTGGAAAGGTACACTGAAGAAGAATAGAGTAATAGACACTTTAAACTGCAGGGCAGCTTATTGCACAGAAGAGGTTTTATCATGCAGATTCCGTTCTGAAACGTTACGGTCTAGTAAGTGAACTGAGCTGCGAGCTGCCCTTCTCACAGAACCGGCTTAAATTACACATTGTGTTCCCGTCTTCATTACCTCTCCTGCACTGCTCTCCTCAGATCAAGTTCAACAAACACAATGCCCTCTGAATCACTTCCCCGAATGAGCCTGCCGCTGAGGGCCTGCATGAAACCTGGGGAGGCCCACTCCAGACAATGTGAACAAGGTGGCTGAGGTACAATCAGGGACCGATTTCCTCTTGCAGCCACAGAGGAAGCAGAACAGCCAGCACAGCTTCCCGATCGCTGTTTGTGTTCCACTTTTCACCACTGTTGATTCAACACAGGATCTACGGGGGAACTGAGCAGCAGTGCTGCACGGTGGAGCAAAAACAGCCTCAAGTTTCATTTCAGAGTCCAAAAAAAAATACAGGAGGGAGAACACGGATCCCTTTCAAAAACAGTATACCGACTCAGTTTCAGTAACACAGTTTTGGTTGAGAACAACAGCAAATAATTTACAAACGAGTTACAAACATCTGGGGGGTCTGTGCAAAAGACCACAAAAGCTCACTTTTGGCACAAAACCAAAAAATGTGTATTATGCTTAAAAAATATAACGCACCCTTTATGCGTGTCTTTTATTTAAAAAAAAGTTATCAATTTGTGTCAACATCAATCCTTCCATTTTCAAACGGCTTCTTCCAATTCAGGGTCGCAGGGGAAGCTGGAGCCTATCCTGGCTTGAATAAGCAGATCTAATATTTTCTTAGAGATTAGCACATTTCAACTGTGAGAAAATACAATAGTGGCATAATGGGAACACCTGGGCTTGACTTAAAACTGATCAGTCTTTCCCCCCCGAGTCCAAGATACTAAAACAGCACATCTGCATGTTAAAAAAAAAAATCTAAATTGTATTTAATTTCTTAAATTACGGTGTCTAACAGCTAATACTTTCGTACTAAAAAAAATCAACCTTTTTTAAAATGGATCATTGACGGACCGGGACTATGGAGCTGTACAGAAGAAAAAACAACCTCTGGTAAGATGCTGTATTCACCGGTGAGTTTGCTTGTCACTTCTCTTTGCTGCCAAACCATGCAATATTTCTCACAAATATCAAGTGAAACTTGTTTCTTTACAGTAGCTATAATCAGGATGGAAAATTCAGAGATAAGCTTTGGAGGCAGAGAGAGAGAGATGTGGATTACAGAACAGGGAAGTGCGTCTTCAAGCGATTCGATGTGGCAGAAGGGAACAGGCAGCGAACAACCCAATCGTTCTCATTCCCTGAAACCCACATTTCTGGCAAAACGTCAATTTGGGAAATCACTGCATACAATGAACTTTCTTCATTCTGAACCATAAGAATGTACCACGAAAACAAAAACCACCAACACAGAAACACTGAATTTGCACCCTCTGAACAGCAGTTTTGTACAGGGAGATTAATATGGGTGTGAGATGAGATTCAAAGGTCGGCACCAACTAGAATGACCCTGTTAAGAGCTGCCGAAGGGCTAGAAGTTAAATAACCTATAGGTTGCTTATCGGGTTCAAAGGACAAGCTTCTACTTGTAGTGCCTTTGCTCTATGGATTCACAGGGAAAAAGACTAAACTGAGCTCCAGTGTGCATGCAGTTTACAATTCAACAACAGCACTCCCTCAGCCTCCATGCTGGTGTAAACAAGGGAGGAAAATATCTGCCCAGTCCAAGTATAATTCAATTCCCTGTATAAACACTGCTTAAGTCACAAGTCTGATAAGCGTATGTACAAGGGCATTATGCACACCTTCAAAGTGCTGGATGACGAAAAAACTGCATGTTATTTATAGACTAACAGCTCTAGGTCACGGCATTAAATCTTGAGGGGAAATTCTGAATTTATTTTTATGATGTTACTTTTCCAACAGTATGTATAGTGAACTATATTCTACTTGTAGCATTATGTTTTACAGAACCTAAACAATTCAGTGGATCCGTCTGCTAAAGATCCATACAGAATGTCCACACAATTTCAACCCAGTTGATGTCATCACTCCTTTTAGCAACCTAACAGTACAGTTTGTGCAATCTAAAAGCCAGAGGTTTTACCAAACCTAATGTCAAAAATAAGTTGGAAAAGGCCTCATGATTTCAGTACCTCAGGGTTTCCTTGTTCATTAAGCTCCCTCCGTAATCCCCTAGGATTAAAAGGCCATGGATACCTCAAGGACCAGTAACATCCAGACCAACCAGATTTCCGTATAATTACACCAGAGGATCACCCACTTCAAAACAGAGCCCTAGGGGATAGTCAAAATGGCATTAGATAATGTAGGTGTTGATTAATTTAAGAGCTCTTTGAGCAACAACAGTAATAGACCGTATCTCAGAGTATACAGGACTCAACATTTACAAGGGTTCTGGTGCAGAGAACCTTTGCAATTAGACGAGTTCGCATACAACCAAGTCCACCCCTAGACTAGACTACTGGATAATGTACTACAGTATACAGAATGAATAGTTAAAAAACAAGGAACCCTCCTTTATAGGATAATTAAAGTATTAATACACTAGTTTTAAATTAAAATCACACCAGTATCACAAACAACAGTAATCACAAACTTCTAGTGATCACCTTCATGAAACAACATGAATCCCTCCTCTGTGTCCAGCCTGCACTCTGTCTCTGCCTCCGTGATTAGCTCACTCTACTGTAATGAAACGGGAAACAAAACTGTCGGTGGGCCTGTAAATTCGTCTCCAGCCTGTCGTTCCCCATGCCGCCGACAGAACCAGGAGCGTTCATTACGATACAGAAACGCGACCACGCTGAGATGCCGATGCTGGGCAGTGGGTACTTGGGCAGGCGGCAGGGACAGGCTTGCTAGCTAGATACGTCTCACCAGCCTAGTCTGTCGTGCGGCTCATTTCAAAGCTGTGCTCAGTTTCACCCAGCGCTTCTCTTCTTCCACACAAGACCACGAGGACCAGGAAAAATCGTGAATACACAAATTTATGAATGTTAAATTTGTAGATGTGGAGGCCCTACTGTACAATATTTAGATTTGCAGAAGGCTTTTGATAAAGCTACTCACACTTATTTTACACTTGTAATGGATACAAGAGTACAGGCGAGAGGAAAATGCTCAGATTGGGGTGATCTGGCCTGATGTAATTAGTGGAGTGCCACAGGTATCTGTATTAAGACCACTGCTCTTCT